ATAAAGGTAAGGCGTTGCTGTCCTTTAATGAGGCATCTCCACACCAATGCATTGCAGAATATTGTGTGGCTCAGGCTATATTTTCCATTTACTACCGCAAGGGTGTTAATCTGACTGAGGAATTTTGTTTCCCAGTGAAAATTCCCGAATCTTTATGAAACGAAGTGAATCGCAAGTTGGTTTGCACAGGCTGCGGGGCTTCATGGCTGCATGGCTTAAGTACTTCGTCGGAGCTATGCTTTCGTCCTAGCTTGCGCCAACACAAATCAAAATTCAATCGTAAGTGAAATGACTTAAATTCAATAGGAAAAGGTCAAAGCTCAATCATATTATATTAGCGATCGTCATTCTCGAGCTGCTGGTTGGACTTATGCGCGATGAACTGGCGTTTTTGGGAGGATGAATAAACGGTACCCTAGGTTGATCGAAAGTGGAAGATCTAGTTCCGGTTTCCTTCCCCTCAAGAACCGCATTTTGGCGTTGCTGTTCTGTGAGAAGGAAGTGGACTGTTTGTTCAACCCATCCCCATCCCTCCCATTCCCTGTCCAAGTCCTCTGGAGCACCGTCATTTCGAGCTTCGTCGACAAATTTTCGGTCGAGGGGAGAAACATCTGGTAGAGAAGATGAATGCGCTGGGGTTACATTTGATGCTGACCTATTCTCGCCCGTTTTCCATATCCAGCTGCTACTTGCTTGACCTTGAAGATCACCAGAAACGTACGCCATCATTTCCTCATCGCGTTCTAGGTTTGTGAGGCCGCTTTTCAGTGTCCTCTCCAGCAAACACCCGAGGAAGAATGAAAGGTAGCGGCCACATGCTGCATTGATTGGTCTCGCATCGCCTATTGCAGCGCTTGTTTGGACACAAATAAGGGCATCAGTGTAGGCCCCACGGAAAAGTAGAAATAGGGTACATCGCCATATGTGAGAACATAAAATTGTGGTTGCAGCCGTTGCCATTAGATATCTCCAATAGTTTGTTTGCTGTGAGTCCAGAGTGGAATTTGGCGTCGGGGGAGAACGCATACACCGGGAGAGAAGGGCGGCAGTGTCATGGGCGACAGCTATGCATCGTTCAAGAGCAGCGTGCCTCATCTCAGGTGAATTACGTGGAGAAATATTATGGCGATGAAGAATCAGCCGGGTATTCTGCATAAAGATTATCGGGGAGAGTAGTCGAGGGTCGAGGTAGTGGCTCCCTTCCATTCGATAGTCCAGCGGGAATGTCGACAAACACATCTGAAAATGTCTCTCGAATATTTCTAATGTATCAACCGAAATCGCAGGCGTTTTCAGACTCTTTGAGAGGTGAGATACCGCACGCATAACGTGGGTTATTGCAAGAAGCGGGGTGGTTTTATCGCTCTGCGGCAGTGAGCCGTCTTCAGCAAAAGGGAGCCCAATATCGCAATCTTCATCGTTTATCATCAATGGCTTTCCTGTTTCAAGAACAACAAGTCTGTCATACATTTAGCAATTAAATTCAGGGATTCAATCTGGCATCTTACGCAAATGACATTGAACTGACCTCTCCCAGGAATACAAAGCCCACCAAACCCGCTTTCTCACCTCAGCATCCGGCGCTGGCCAAGGCCCATCCTCAACATGCAACCCTATATACTGCGCAATTCTCACGGCAGAGCCTAGCCAAACCCAACTAGGGGACTTGAGATTCATCTCATGTAAAAACAAGCTAATTAGCATACTAGTACGGACTTGGTCAATGGAAAAAGAGTCCTCCCAAAGATCACCGAGGCTGGCACACGTTTGTATGAACTCTTTGCCCTTCGATATCAAATCCCGGTCCAGTGAATGCAGTGAGCCGCAAGCAAGGACAGCAAATAGCACCGCAATCCACACTTTAGGGACTCCATCAAAAGAGCCAGTGCGCGAGATTCTGTCGCAGTCTCTCAAAAGCATTGGCCAGTGGATTATCGGAAAAACAGGGTGAATATACGAGAAGTAATTTCCTAGAAGGGAGTCCACGACGCTTGTTGGGGGCAGAGGGGGCACATCACCAGTCGGCAGCCGCTGGCGAGGCATGAATGAGGGAGTTGCCGGTAAATCCATGAGTTCTTGGCCGTACGTTCGCATTTTCCAGCAGACATGGGAAGGTATCTGGTTGATATGGGCATCTTTGGGACGACCTGGACGCCGTCCAATTTCCGGGATCGTCGGAGTCCCTTTGTGCAAATCAAAATCGAGATCCATCAAACCATCGATTTTGGAAATTCCGGAACGAAGTTGGAGTAGTTGTTGCTTTACTTGGGCTAGCTGTCGCTCGAGGTCTTGAACTTGCCTGAGACTTCGTTAGTTAAATTCAAGAGACAAACCGATGATGGATAACTGACTTCATTGACGACATGCGTCTGTTAGTTTCCTTAGTAAACAAGCATCGCACATTTCGATTGGAGCATTCCGTGCAACTGGAAGAATCTGAGGCATCGCACTATATTGGCGCATGGGGAGGTTTGATCAGCAAAGTCAATTCTGGCCATTCCCGTTTCCATCATGCCGCAACTACACAAGTCGCCTACCTTCACTTTGCGTTCCCGACATGCATCGCAACTTGGATCCTTTCGGCGTTGTCTATACGCCCTTTTGTGAGGCTGCTGGATAAATGTACCCCTGTGAAATCCTTGTACAATGTCATTTTGATTGTGGAGATCTGGAAACGTCCCTGACTGATCTGCTAATGAGACTGATACTGACTCATGCGGGTGGGGGTATGTCGTGCTCGGGGGAGAACGATTGAGGTCTTGTGGGCCAGAGCTATATATCAAGTTTGATATCTTCAGCCCGTTTGGTGACCGGTTTGGGGCAACTGGATTGAAATTCGCCCGCAGTTGGGAACCTGAGATTGCCGGCAACGTCGACGAAGAAACTGGTGGTTGGCCACACGAGGTACTGCTGTGCGGAACGTGGATTGGGGGCAGCTGAGGATATGCGTCTTGCATTTTTTGCCCTCTTGTCCCTACTCCCTCCCCGTCCTCAAGGGTGCGGAAGCGTCAAGAGAAAATGGTTCGAAATGAATGTGATTTGGGAAACCGAAAGAAACTTGTGTTTCGTGGAAACGACATATCATACACAGCATAAATTGAATACAACAGGAGTTGGGCGAGGGAGTGACAAGTTCACCGGAGCATATATTAAGCACGGCCTTTTTTGTTGGTATGGGAGACGAAGCAGCACCTGCAACTGGTTAAGTGAGTCAGCGTCTTAAAGTTACGAAATCCATGCAATTTGCAGGGCGGCTACTGTCGTTTGCTCGGGACTTCATACCCTGGAGGGTCGTAAGAGACTACGACGCGGAACTTGAACTGCGCTTTAAAGTGGGTGGGGGGCTGCTTAACCTCATCACCGTGAGAGAGACCATCAAAAAGGAGTGGGCCACGAGGGCTGATCAGTAAGAGAAAGCCGAGGTTGACCGTCCAGGGTTGACTGTCGAGGCATGAGCACCAGCCGCCAGTTCAAGCCTCTGCATATAACTACTCAATTTTAATATTAATAAATAATGATAGCGGACGATGAAGCGCATCCCCATCAATCTCGAGCGGGAGCCACCGCCCACCAGCAACGGCAAACCGTCTCTGGTCTAAGCTCATGAAGCCGTCTTCAATCCCCCATAGCAGGCCTGTCGGCTATTCGCCGTTAACTATTGGTTGGATACAAAAAATGCTTAAACAGGAAATAATAGTATTTCTGTAAGTTACCCAATGGTCCCCACTGGAAATGATATTCCGTTTCCATGAGTATGAAGAAGATCGGATGCAGCTGCAAAGACTGCTGCAATTTTTTTCTAACTCTACTTTCTTTTTCCCTTCTCCTCTTTGGCTGTCAGGGTGAAGCTTCATTCGAAGCAACACAAGGTTCTGCTAATCCTGACGGGTTGGATGTCACAACTTTTTCAGCCATGCCCAGAAACAAAAAAAGAAACCAGAAAGACAACATCAAAGCAAGACGGATTCAGAATTGGCGAGAATTTGGTAAAGCTGATTGAATAACACGCTAATTATTATTAGTCCAATGACTTGCAAAATGACTCTGTTTATCTTTAAAATAATGGACCCTGGATTTGCGACAAGGGTTTATCAAGAAACTTGATATGAAGTAACTAGTGGCTTGTCCTCTGAACGGTGTTCTGGGGCTACGATGATCCGTTTTATTTTACCTTCACCAACAAGCAACAAACCCCTCCTCATTAACCAGGGTGGTTGTTGAATCAGCCAACTCCCTGTCAGGACAATCAGTATTATCTCCTCGTATTTGCTTTAGAAGACATCAAAATGAATGTTGATGTAGTCGACTCAGTCAGTGAAGTGACCTCGAGGCAAACTTCGAGACAAGTCTCGGCGGTATCAAAGGGGTATATTAATTTATTGAGTTCGGGTGGTTCTATAAAAAATCACGGTTTGTAGCCTGTCACTGGAGGAGATCGACAAGCCAAGGGGCAGTTGGTGAATGCTTCGCGTGTTTCATGGCAGCCACATTATCCGTGTGGACCAAGTTCACAATGACAATATCAGATTCGGGAGAGTCCCCGAAGTTGGTTTCCACCATGATCCAGCTGCTCCTTGAGCACGCTAAAGTCGGACGATAATCGAGCTAGTGCCGCTTGGTTCTTTTCGTCGTTTGCCGAGGTCTTATGATTTCTCAACAGCCGATGCCTGTGTTTGAGGTGGGATTGTGATTCATCGAATAACAGTAATGATTTCAGCAAGCTGCAAGCGATAATTAGACAAAGCCGACCTCAAAAATTACGGCACAAGTGCCCAGCCAGCCAAGGGGCCAGTGGAAACCCTGACATTGGCAACGTTTAAAAAAACTGCACAAGAAATAATGGATAATGATGCAGGATTTGTTACTGAGTAAACCCGTTGTTATGAGATGTTTGTTCCCCAAGTGCTTATTTACGATATCCAGTGGCAGACAGCGTGGCTTTTTGGAAAAGGAGACCATATTGGTTTGATATAGAAGAGTTTGGCACATGGAGGAGCAAGATGATGTTCCCGGGACATAAGAGAGACCAAGGTACCTTGGACGACGCAGGGTTCTGTCCTACAGGCTACAGCACGCCCGGGAAAACTTTGGAAGGCAACACAGAGGATTCAAAAGTGCCTCAACGCCAGAGGCAATCGGTTCAGCCATTATTGGAGCACCCTGCCGAGCACTTGCACTTCCGCTGCGTCGGAGCGCATACACCTGCAGTCGAAACATGTCAGCCGCTCCCCAAGCCAAAATGCGCAACAGTCTGCCCGGGTTTTGCCGCTTTCCCATGTATCCGATATCCGAAGGAAAAGACCATTACCCCAGACATGGTTCGGGAGACAAGCTTACAGGTTACGCTAAGCCCATAAGCCAAGCCCTTCATTGCGCAATGGACTGATCCCTATTACGCCGGAGACTCCGGCAAGGCGTAGATAGCAGAAAGGAGATGGCCAGCACTTAGGAGGAACATGAGAAACTATCGGGAAAAAAAATCATGATAATATGTCCATTTAATGGACATAGTTGCCAGATCTTGGGGCTGAAACTGTGTGAAAACCCTTTTAATCTCACTTTACAGTCAAGAAAGTTGCACATAAGCTGAATGATACGGAAGTTCACTAAGCATTGTGGATAGAACATGGTTTTGTCATGTTTCTTACTGGCTGCCCTTGTTCACAATCTCCCTTTCATCTTAACACTAAATGCATGAGAGGAGAAGACACTACAATGGAGAGGTTTTGTCTTTCTAATTGCGGTGAGGTCTTCTGCTTGCAAACATCGCCTTAACATGCGAGGAACGAAACTTTCTCAAAGATCGGCCAATTGTTTGGACTGTAGGTGAACCAAAAGAGAATAAATAATGCGTAATATGCCCATCCACAGTCTGGGAGCAACGCAAAGTCTCAAGGGCGGTTAGAGAAAGAAAATGGGAAATGGGAACCGGCCTCAGGAGGATCATCTACCCAAGTCACTCCTCATTACCTCGAGGAGATTTTACATTCTCCATCTAGGATAAGAATAAACCCAACCTTCAAAGAAACTTGAGGCTAAGCATTGAATTTAGAATTCTGCACCAAGTTGCTCCTCCTGCTGCATCAAGAATCAAGATGCCCCTCTGTTCCTATATTCTGTTGGAAACCACATATCCCTTTTATCATCTTCTGTTGATCAGTAAGGAAAGGACCAAATATCGGTGAGAGCAACAAGCCCAATCTCTCCTAGAGAAGACTAGACCATGCATGCAATACTGTACACACATATCGCGAAGCTCATCAAAAGCAAAAAAGAACAATTGCAAGACAGTCAAACCGGGTTTCCCCTCTACATACCCAGGTACTCATTGAACTCCGTTCCCTTCACTCCTTTCACTGGGACTTCATAATAATTTAGATATCGTAGTAAACTTCCCGGGCATCCCAGTCCATCCCATTCGCAAGAGGTGTTTTGGTTGGCTCAGCGTAAGTGCCGAAATTTTTACTCCCTGCTCCCCGGCATACCTCGAGTGGTCCATCATATGGGAGCCCATTCGGAATAACAACAACAACAACAACAACAACAACAACAACAACAACAACAACAACAACAACAACAACAACAACAATAATAATAATAATAATAATAATAATAATAACCACGTAATGTATCTAAGTACTCCGTATGTACGGAGCACTGCACATATATTCTCCCTCGCTTCATTGTTGTCCACGGGACCTTCGTCCTAATGATTTAGGTTGCATTGCATTGAGAGGCGGATCTATTTACCCACCCTTTGATTAACAACGGGCAACGCTGAACTGAAACGGAAGAGGTGGCAGAGGCCGTAGGTAAAATTCGTAAATCGAGACCCTTTAATTTTGGTATTCGAAGGATCCATGCTGCACAATATCCCTGGCAGGCTAGAAGGGGCAGCAAGCAGGCTAGCTAGACGCCAACGGAAGACAAATTCATGTTATTTTAAAGCCCCGTAGATTCCGATTCGACCGCTGTCTTGTGTATCGTCGGCATCCTTCACGACCCGCATGCTCTGGTGGCATAACTAACCAAATCGATGCTCCACCTTGTCTGCACAGACAGAGTCGGGTCGCAAGAAAACCCCTGTCTTAGTTTGGGGCTGCAGAGGGTCTGTGTGGCAGGCACAATTCCAACGCTATGACCGCATCACTTCATGTCCAGCGGTGCCAGGCAAGGCAGGCATCCATCCCACCCGGCATGGTTGCGCGAAAAACACCCAAGACCTCATGGTTAACCGATGGGCCCACGCGACGGTCCATGGGTACAACAATATGGTGCCACAAGTTAAAGAAGGATTTACATCTGAAACAGCTTGTCAGTGACAGGTTGTTGAATCTAGGAAAGTTAAGCAAGCAAGCAAGCAATAGGGGTTCTGGAGCCGGCGGAACAGCCTTGGTTGACAAAGAACAAAAGAGACCACATCCATCTCCAACTCGTGTTTTTCCCTATTGGATCCCGGTTGTGCGGTATACATGTGCTACTACTGTACGCAGCGCACTTGGGGTGCACACGATGATTATCGGAACTGCGAAGAAACGAATGAATAAGACTGGGTCAGAGCGCTATCGTACATGTAATCTGCATCCAACTCAAATCTTCAGATTTCCAACCTGTTAGGGTTACAGTCGATCATGGCTTTAGAAATTTTGAAATATGATTTATAAGTTGCGGCTCACTTGGAAATCAGGATCAACGGGTAAACTTACAGTATTATTTTTTATATAATTAAGTTATTCTACTTACAGTAACTATTCGTTATAATCATTAGTTTAATGAAAGTCTTGTTAGAAATCTTTTGATTGTTGAGACTTAAGAAATCAAGTGTTTTCTTGATTCTCTTCAAGATTATATACGAATTGTAAGCAGATAAAGTGGAGATGTGTCCTTCAGATATGAATCATTGATTTTTGAGTAACCAGATGTCATGCAGCAGGCTGTCACCTTTATATTGACACAAAAAAAGGCTCTCAGTGAGATGAGTAATTAGATATAGTGATAAAAATTCTGTGCGAAGAGTTATGGTTGAAAATTTTCAAAAATTGGCTCTGCATTTTGTCTTGTTAACAGTTTAGTAAGGACCAGGAAGAACAACAAATATCCTTCCCAGCCAGATGGATCAGACGGAATCCTAGTCCGTCTGTTCGGGGATGGAAATTTGTGTTACCCTTGATGACGGTCATCAACGGCGAACATTCGAAAATCTTGTCATTGGCCATTTCCTACTTACCCGGAAATTCCGTTTTTCTTTAAGCTAGTTAGTTAACCGTCCTAGTGCATGCCAGCTAAATGACGGGACACTCCCTGTCGCGACGCCAAGTTATTTCCACATTTGTTCCGTACCCGCATATGCACGCTTAACCAATTGGCACTCCCCATCCCGGAAACCTGGGGAAACTGTTTCTGGAAAAAAATACAAAAAGTAAGAAAAAATAAAAATAAGAATAAGAATAATAATAATAATAAAAAAGGCAGTAACTAAAACGATGGCTGGGAACAAACCAGCCCTTTCTCATGACGTGTTGGATGATCGAGTTTAAACACACACATGACAAATGCCTTCGAGGGCTCATCTCAAGTTTCCAATTGATTCCATTCCACGTGTAACCCTGTCCTGTCCACTTTTAGGCAATCTCAGATTGTCGGAGTAGAACTTGGGAACCGAAATAATAGCTAGGTATTAGCTTTTGGTCGGGGAATTAGAAACGGTGGTATCCCTTCACTGCTTTCGTTCACCAGTCATTGTGACACATTACGGGGTTCACAGATGACTTAATCGGAATTGAATATGGAGATCGATAGAGAATTTTTCTTTTCGCATTATTTTGTCTTTTTCCGTTCCTTGTCCGCATGCCATCACAAAGAATCTTCAAAAAAAAAAAAAAAAAATTCTTGTTCCGGCGTTACCACTTTCAGCAACTGCTTGCTGCCCTGGAGTTATCATGTTTGTTTAACCATCAGAAAGACGAATCCAAGTTGACTTGGCAAGGTAGGAACTTCGGGCCAGCTTAGCCAAATGCGACTGGAGAAATCAAAAGGACATTTGTCATGATTGGGCTTTAGGAAGTATCCAACACCCGCAACCGGTAAGAATGGCAATTACTTCCACACAGAGCGCATCTTAAAAAGGCTTGCAGAGTGTGTTAAGGGTTTCGAAAGGTCAAATGCTATCGTGTCATACGATCTTGGCGCCTTGCCTTGCATTTGCAACCTTCTTCTGTTCCTCTTTCTGTTGCCATTTTTCCATCACCGTTTCCAAAATTTTCTTGAACCCTTCCATTTGTTCTTCAATCGTGGATCCCGAAAAGTCGACGTTGCAGCCCACATAGACAGGTTTAGATGTTCTCTGAGCAAGAGCCCGTGCCGTCCGTGTGGCATAGTCAAGGCTGGAAGGTGACGTGTAAAGCGGTGTACTGATTGTGTTTTTTGGGTTGGTACACTGAAAACGTTTAGTTAGCATGACATGTCTTTATTATACATATATCTTCGACTTTGCGGTCTAGCACAAGTAAACCATCCAGAGGGAGCAGTTGGGGCTCAGGGGTAGAGTCACTCAGGCAAACTAGTTCGGAGTTGCAAGTGATGCACAAAATTCCGTTTGAAAGATGAAGCAATGCATCTTTAGCAAGTTTATGGAAATAATTCCATACGCCTACTTCCATCAATTTATCATGGACAGGGTTTGTCATGGACAGATTGATTCAAACTGGAAGACAATACTCGAGCTTGAAAACAAAAAATGATGACAGATTATTTGCACGTTTGTAAAGAAAGGCAGAAACGTAAGGGGGTCCTGAAAGTATTCTTCTCAGAACATACATCAGGCATTGCGTAGACGAAGCTTCCCATCGGCTTAGGTGAATTACTCGACTCTCCGATATTGGTCGTAGTGAGGAAAACTAACGTCGAGGTTGCAAAAAATGTCAAATGAATATGTATCGTCATATACGGAGATTTGGGAGCTGGGAACGAAAGTTGTATAGGAGCTATCGAAGGATTGGCTTGGACACGAGATATGGGAGCGGAATCCATGGCTCTACCGGAGGGAATAGACGACCGGTGGAGTAGAAGACGTGATTGGGTTCTTGGACAACAAAAACCCGATCTGTTTGGATCGTAGAAGTTATTGGGTTCTTGGGACTGTTACCCTTACGGTGTAATTGATCCCCCGACTTGGTTTTTGATGTTGATGCTGTGATAGTACGGTGGTGTGTGAGGTCGAAGCGGGTGAGAAAATCATCACCTTAAGAAGTTGATTTTAGCTTGGCGCTAACCGAAATATTGGGCCCAAGTAGAAATGATGATAAACTATGCCAGTATCAAAACAGGACGATGCTCTTAATATTTCAATAACGAGCAGAGATATCTGCCGAAGCCCCACCTTATCATTTCCCCAAGGCTTGAACATGGAACGAGACAGAACCAAGGAGGAAAATGTGGAAAGGTGGGGAGGAGATTTTGATACACTTGCTGATCCGGATGAACGACGTGTGCTCTTTGCGGCTCTCGATTCGTTTAGGTACGCTCCTTGAATAATTTCTGTGTTCCTGAGATGTGCCCTATCCTCTGTAGAAATACGTTGCTCTTATTTCAACTCCGTTATGCATTACTATGTGCTTTGCAAAGCAGAATTAACAATGCGGGAAGCACGCATACTTATATTCACACCATTCCTCAATATAGGATTATTAAACCCATGAGACATCACTTTGTGCTTGCAATGGGGACAATATATATTTACTTCAAGCTGTCCATCCACTCAATTACACTATCAGATACAGCAAACTAACAAGCACCCCAGACAGTACCGAAGGAGCGCGCATTTAAACATCACCCATCGGCGACGTCAGTCATTCTATGCTTTACCATCTGCTCATTGGCAAATGCTAGCGAAACCGCCATTTTCTATCTTAGACAATTTCAACCAGGTTGATGACGCAATTGACGCCAACGCAGAGATCGCGGATGCGATTTTATCTTTCGGTCTGGAAGCCTTTGGACTGCCCGCAAACCCGGATAGCAACGATGAGCGCAGGAACTGGCATGATACGGCCACAGCGTCCGATATCAGCAAGGCTCATTCAACCGTGAAACAGTTATACCGAGACTGGAGCTCTGAAGGAGTCATGGAACGGAATGCCTGCTATAAGCCGGTGATGAATGACCTTGAAGAACTGTTTGGCTCTCAACCGCATATCAGAGTTCTTGTTCCAGGCGCTGGGCTTGGGCGTCTAGTTTTCGACCTCTGCGTAGCCGGATATTGTGCAGAGGGAAATGAAATTTCTTACCATCAACTCCTGGCGAGTAACTGGGTGTTGAACCATACACGGAAAGCCAATGAATATCCCTTATACCCATTCGCTTTGCAATTCTCGAATTTGAAGTCCCGGAAACAGCAGCTAAACAAGGTTATGATTCCCGACGCCCATCCTAGTTCGATTATCGCTTCACAAATGGAGGCTCCAGATGAAGGAAGAGGGATGGGATCGATGAGTATGTCTGCTGCGGACTTCGTAGTGAACTATGCCAGTCCTGCGCAAAAGGACACTTTTCATGCAGTTGCAACGGTTTTTTTCATCGACACAGCTCCAAATCTGGTAAGATATATCGAAGTTGTTTGGAATTGCCTGGTACGCGGGGGATATTGGATAAATGTTGGACCTCTCCTATGGCACTGGGAAGATAGGCCTTTCAAAAACGAGTCCTCCAAACAAACTTCTCCTTCGATATCGACTGCAAAGTCGGACAAACAGCCCGAAGGGATTGGAGAGCCTGGGCATGTAGAATTAACAGAGGAGGAAGTCATTGCACTCATCCAGCAATTCGGTTTCGAATTTGTCAAGAAAGATTCCGAGCAGTCCTGGTGTGGCTACGTCCAGGATCCGGAGAGCATGTTGCAAAATTTATATAGACCTACACACTGGGTTGCAAGGAAGATTGCTGATTCATGAATCATAGTTTCGCGTGACGCAAGCTGACATGGCAAATGGATACGGAAGGAAGTTGGAAGCTAAATATAAAATTAAATGGGTTTAACAGCATTCTCGTTTCCCCTAAAGAAAGTCGAAATTTCGTCCGATCTTGTTCGAGGGGGCTATACACTTCTGATTCCTTATTCAGGTGCTGACAGCGAGTTAATTTGAGTGTGCAAATGGTTTATCGTCCGCTGCTTGTACTGTATGCTAGTAATGGGCGATGCCCCATTTATAGAGAACCCCTACATATATTTTACCTAGCTCCTCCGTACGACATAGATATATACCATATAGTTCCTGCTTTTTTGGCCCTGTTTCAATTCAAGGGGAGATATTATTTTCTAGATATTCTTTGCCTCTATCACTCCGCTATGAAAGTCAAATCGCTTACAACTTAATATTCGCATATTGTATCTATATAGAAAACCATTTCATTAAATCGTCAAGCCGGGCCGGATACAAATCTAGAGCTATCAATGTAAGACATTGCCATCCATGTACTAGTTGATAAACTCATCCATATGGAGTTAATTTAACTCGCGCCATGCTTTCAGTTTAAAAGGGAATGATAGAAGATTTAACAAGCAAGAATGGTCTCATTTATATTGGATAAAACAACGATCTGAACATGGATGATGTTGCGTT